ATAGTATTTGTTCGATACGGCACTGGTCTATGAGACAGTTAGTAATGGCCGACTCTTTGATGTCCATTAAGTCCAACAAACTCTTGTATTCGTCGCATCGGACCCGACCTCTGCTCACGTCGTGGAGGGCAGTGAAGGGACGGGTAATGATGGATGGCGTGCGTTGACCGCCACTACCAAACACTTGTTGAATTATTTTATCCAATTCTCTCTTGTCCTGCATATTATCGCAACAGAAGGCGTAAATCACGTTTTTGATGGCCAGTTCGACGGCCAGAGCGCACGAGTAGTCCTTCAGTTTAATGTAATTCCCAATCGGTCCCAACGGCTTCTTCTTAAACACCTTCTTCCGGAACGCCTCGTCTATACGTTTGACTAATTCCGGATATTTGGGCCCAAACTTCTTCAGCTGATCCACACGACTCTGATTGAGTCGTTGAATGTCATACTGTTTGCCATCAATTGTACTTTTCAATTGATTCCGTTCTTGATATATTCGGACACCGCTTTCGCCCAATTCTCGCACCGATTGATCCAATTGTTCGTACCGTTCGAGTAGTGACTGCTCTTCTTCTCTCAGTTTTTCGATTTCTGTCCTTAATTTGGAAATCTCTTCCTTTCGTCGGTTATGACTCTCATTACTGGTCATCAAAAACACAATTAGTGGTCAATTGGTTTCAATTACAAACAAACAATCAATCAATACCTAAATTGTTGTTCCAGTCCTTTGATTCGTTGCTCAATAGCCTTCATATCGTTCTTCGTGGCCATAATCTCCGTACGAACTGCTCTGTCGTCCCGCTCTTTATTGCGCATCTTATCCTTGATTTCATCCCTGTTAGCCCTCTTTTCCTCGGCGGTGTCCTTCGCGCGATTCACGTCATCGATCAACTGATTCAGTCGACCCATTGTCTCCGTTTTCTTCGCCTCCAACACAGCGATTGTCTCCTTTTCGGCCTCACATTTGGCCGACTCTGTGACAAATCGTTTCTCAAATTTGGCGATCTGTGCCCTCACGGCCTCCAACTTATTCTTCTGCTCGTAGACCAGCGCCCAAAGCGCCTCATTGTTCAAATGCGTGAACTTCTCCTTATGGTTCTCCAACTCGTTAAACATACGGACCTTTCGCTCCAACTCTTTCAGGTCGCGCGTCGTGTCCGGCAATACCTTCCCCTTCTGGTCCAATATCTTAGTCGATATACTCCTATCGGTTTCACTCGACGCGTAATCATTCTTCATGTCCTCCAAAAGCGTGGCTTTCATGAAGAACTGGTACTTATCTCTCGCGTTCTTCGTGTTAAGGAAATTGCGCGACACCTCTTGGTTGAGGACACAGATCGGGTTATCCACCTGTATGTTGAAGTGGCGTATAATGTCGTCCAACGCGTCCCTCCGGTCGGCCACTGTCTTCCCGTCAGAGGTCTTGATCTTATAAGTGGAAGATCCGGACGCGTGCTAACACGCGAGCTAATCATATCTGAACGGCATGCAAAAGTGTAGCTTTGGGACAAACGGCCAGCTGGTGAGTAAGGTCAACGTCTAGAATTCATACTAGAAACGGACGCAAACCGGGCTGAAATACAAAGAGGCCACACCTTTGCCGCGGGATGTGGTCGACGCCCGACCGCCCAGACCTAACACAATGCCCGTCAATATAGCACTTTTGCCGCTACCGTTGCGACCGACAATGAAGTTAATACGCGGACCTAATCAGTGATATACAAGAAGAATATTAATCGCTGATCACAGCAACAGATGGTAAAACAATTGCATACCTAAATCCAAGTGGAAGTTTTCGTGACACATGAAGTTTTGAAGAGTGATGGCCTCAATGGCTCCGCATTCGGCGACATTCAGTTTGGCCCTCTCTTCGGCTTCGGCCGTGTGTTTGTCCACTCGATGGTGGAGTTGAGTGTTGGACGGCTCGGCGAATGAAGCGTCCAAGTCTTCGGCCCAATTGTTGCTCAATTCAAGCATATCTTCGTCGTTGTCATCGTATATATCGGTCACTTGTGTGTCAATCGGCTCTTCGTATTGGGTCTTCTTCTTCTTCTTGGGCGGCGGCGCTCGTTGTGATAGACATGGGATCGACGCTTGGGATTGGCTTTCGTCGAGCAAATGGCCGTCCATTTGGTCCATATCATGGGCTGTGGCGGCAAATTGACTGGCAATCGGTGTCCGACCCTGTAGTGAGTCGTCGGCCGTACGAATCATCTCCACATCGGATGTGTTGACAGCGATTGTCTCGTCGGCGACAGTGGCGGCCGCAGCGGCGGTGGCCCTACGAGTGGGGCGACCACTTCGGGCCACTGGTGAGGCGTCGACCGGACGGCTGCTGGAAGTGGTGCTCGTATTGGGTGAGGACATGGTGTCAATTCCGGTGTCAGTACTGTCGGTGACATTTGATCCGCGTTTACGTTTGCGAGACAACTGTCCCATCGTTTGCGGCGATCGTAACAAAGACTATACAAAACACATTCAAATGCATTACAATTAAAGGCAAAAACAATTGACTAATCGTTACGACAAATGACTTCAAAAAAACATTGAAATGCAAAACAAGTCATTTGTTACAACAGATTAGCACTTATGCTATGCTTTACTCACACGTTGACAATGAGTTAATCCTTAATCCGTTAATCCCTTTAAACTAATAATTAACTTAAAAAACAACTGTTTTTTCAATTGTTATCAATTAATGAATGACTGAATCAATGAATGTCAGCTGCTAACTCAGTTAGTAAACGACACAAAAATCGCGAGTTTTCCAAATCGCGAAAAAGTTATGTATTGTGTTAGAGAGTTACTTTCGTTATTAACAACTTTTGTTTATTGCAAACGTAAATTCACTTGAATTTTACGTTACTTTCAATGCAAACAATGGCTTTGGGTTTGTGTTGACGTATACTATATCACAACCATTTGACTGCATTTCTCATCATTTAATATTCAATTATTGATGTTTTGGTACTTTTTATAACAAATACTTCATATAATTTCAATATGTATTCTCATTGCCTAAAAACAATACAAATACAAATGATGTGTAATAAGGGCTTAAAAGCTATACTCTATACGTGTTGTAAATAAGCCTTTTATGCGTTCATGAAATGCTAAACATATCTCACATTTCAGTCATATGTTCACAAATTGTTGAGTTATTTGAGATTCAATTGAAATTACAATTTAATTATCACTCATTTGTGACCAACTCTTGAAATGGCAATCGGCGAACCCATTGTCGACGCGAAGACCAACACAACGGCCACAACGACGTCAACGCCGGCGCCGAAGACTGGCCTTCAGTTCCCAATCACTCGTTACGCGAATCTGATTGTTATGCCAATCAATGATCAGATCATTGAATTGCAAACCATTATTAGAGACAAGTATTGATCATTTGATTCACACTATAATGACATTAATCTCAATCTCATTGTACACCCGATTAGGACCACAACAAGGAGTGACTTTGTCTTCTACGCCGACCGACTCGTCAGTATTGACACCGCATAAAGAGAGAGAGCCTTTCAATAACCGTATTATTACTTGTTTTAGATCCGTCTTGTGGTGGAGGAAGGCTTGAATCAGTTGCCATCTAAAGACATGGACGTACGGACACCGACTGACGCCATATACCACGGCCTCCAGTACTTGAAACGGTCCGTCTGTGGCGTTAGTATTGTCCGCAGCGGCGAAGCCATGGAGAAGGGTCTGCGAGACTGCTGTCAGTCGATCAGAATCGGCAAAATACTGGTCCAATCGGATGAAGTGACACACGAGGCGCGGGTGGTGTACGCGAAGTTCCCTGAAGACATACAGGAGCGCAAAGTGCTGCTCATGTATCCCATTATGAGCACCGGAAACACTGTGGTTAAGGCCGTCAAAGTGCTTATGGATCACGGCGTCAGACCCACGAGTATTATATTGTTGAACCTCTTTTGTACACCAAATGGTATGTTTTACCACGTTTTTAGACTTTCAAATACCAATGAATATGTTTTGTTTGGTTTTGCATATAAGCGGTCGCATCGGTGGCCAAGACGTTCCCATTGATGACTATATTGACCTCTGAAGTGAATCCCGTGGCACCCAATCATTTTGGACAGAAGTATTTCGGAACCGATTAAATGTTATCCAAGGCGTGGACTTAAGAGTTTTTTGTTACAATTATAAATGATTTTAGTTTTACGTTTGCTAACAAGTATTGACACATTTTACATTTTTATTTCTAAAACTTATTGAAAATGTATTATTATTGAGATTTGAATAAATTATTATTTGAATTATTTCTAAACACAAACCTTTGGGTTGAATATAAGAGAACCCGATTTA